CACAGACACATGCACAGACTGAGAAAGCCAGAGAGAGTCAGAAAGAGGTGACGAGACAGATGGGGGGAGTGAAAGAAGAATGAGAGATGGACTCACACGGATTCATGCAGAGGGCAGGACGGAGAGACACAGATGCACACCAAGCGATGGGCAAGGACAGAGACTGATGGCAGAGGCAGAGGAAAGGCAGACATAGACACAGAGAGATAGGAATAGACACAGAGAGGCCATGTGGGGAGACCAAGAGGCAGAGTGAACTGAGGATGGCCGAGTGGGGGGGAGGCAGAGAGTGGGCTCTGTAGATTTTGGTCCACTGAAGCAGATCATTCCGGGCCCAGAACAGGTGGTGGGGAGAGAAAGAAAGCTCCATGCTTGGCCTGCTTGATACATGCAGACTGGGAGAGGGGAGCTGGAGGCAAAGTGGGAACCACCATCCCTCGGGGTCAGGCTGGCCAGTGACCACCCAGGATCCCTGCAGCACACCCACTGGCCTCACACGGAACCTGGGCCACCCGCCCGGGATGGCCGGCAGCCCGCCCACTGCCTGGCTCCAGTCTGATTACAGCCAAAGTGCTAAAAAAGGCTCCAGACCCCCACGCCCCGCCCCCTGGGTCCCACATCCCGAGCTTCCCCTCCTCCTTCCCTTTCTCCCCCAGCTCCCTCCCTTTCCCTCTCCCCACCGCCCCTTGGGGAGCAGTCTACCCCCATCTGGTCACTGGCTGGGAGGAAGGGGGTCCCTGCCCTACCAACCCCCTTCCCCCGTTTGGGACTGGATGCTCCTTCCTTCCAAAGCCCTCTTGGCCTGGCCTCTTTGAGACACGTTCCATGCCTCGCCTGGGACCTCATAAATACCAAAGAGAGGCCGGTCCGGCTACGTAGAAAACATAGATCCCCACCCACCCCCTTAAAATCCCCTGGGTTCTTCCCAAGCTCCCCTCTCTTCCCTAGACACCTGCATGAGAATGCTGGGAAGGGGGAGACAGAGCAGGGGCTGGGCACGGGGTGTGTGTGTGGGGGTGATTCTTGTGTGAAACTGGCCCCATTTCAAATGAGACTTGCCTTGGTTTACAAAGAAATCTCAGGAAAGGCAGCTCAGAGCCCCTAGTGCAAGCAGCAGGAGCAGAAATTCCTTGACTTCCATCCAAACCTCCCCCCAACCCGTCCTCAGCCTTCTCTCTGCTCATTACCATCCATACCACCTCCCACCCACTGGGAAAGAGAGAAGGTCATCGCCAAAGGGGCAAGGAGGGGGCGGGGCAGGGCTCTGGGGCGGACAGGCCCGGTGGAGTAAGAGCTGTTTATCTGCACCCAAGCTCCTGGAGCTGATCTCCACTCCCCTCCAAGGGCCAGTAGAAGTTCACCATTGCTCAGTCACATACAGCTGAGAATAGCATGAAAGAAGATGAATCTTAAGTCTAAGTGGTTCCACAAGGGAGCAGAGTATGAGATGAGGCATCGGGTGAGAGGGCAGGAGGCTGGGTGCCACCTTGAGGAGGGAGGAAGGCCTGGCTCTGCAGGCTGGGTGGAAGCTGCCCGCTGGAGACACAGAGCAGCAGCAGCAGCAGCAGCAGCAGCAGCCGCCTTGGGGGAGACTGGGGTTCTCTTCCAGGTCTCTGTTGACATCTGCAGCATGAGCCTCCGGCAGTCAAGCCTGATGTGCCACCCTCAGATAGCTTTATTGTATTGGCAAGAAAATGCCCTTTCACTCCTCCAATGTCATTTCAGATGCCCTGGCCAGTGCTGGGCACACAGCAGGTGCTCCCTGAGTGCCGACATGACTCCACGAAGGCCCCTCCGGACCAGAATTTGACTCCCAAATCAGTGGCCCCATTACAGTGGAGTGGGGTCAGGGTGGGAGGGAGGGAGGAGCAGGTCAGGCACTAGCCACTAACCCAGCCTCTGGCCTTGACCCCCTGCCTGGAAGTCCTATAACAAGCCCTTGCGTGAGGAGCTGAACTCTCCAGTAGTGTCTAGGACTTGAGGCTGGAAGTTTATTTTAAGATTGGAAGCTCCAAAGTGGCAGATCCCAGAAAACCTCTTCTTTGGCTCTGTGTTTGTTCTCCAGTTAAGTGGTTGAGCTCTGCTCTGCAGTCAGCTAGCTCCTGCAGCCTGGGGTCACTCCTGGGGAGCTGGGGGCTCCAAGGGGAGGGGAAGGAGAGGAAGTGAAGCCCCATCTTGAGCTGTCCACTCTTGGGCAGAGGTAGCCTGTGAGTGTTGGAGAGAAGTCTTGTCCCCTCACCCACTTTCCTTTTGAAGCTACTGATGTTTCTGCGCCCCCCCCCACTCAGCAACATGCTTTAATAGTTGAGCATCTATGTGCTGTGCCAAGACACAGTCCCACTTGACTGTAAAGACAGCTGAAGCCAAAGAAGGGGCCTCAGAAGTGAGTTTGGGGCCCACGTGGGTGAGTCCACCCATGATTAGGGCTGATGTGATCATCTCCAGCTCCCCACCCTGCAACCTCAGGCCCATATGCAGAAATAAACACGGGGCCAGAGTCACGCCCAGGCCTAAGCACACAGGGGAGTCTGGGAGAGGCTGCTGGAGCTTGCAGACTGCTGCCCAGCATCGGGGTGGGGCTGGCTGGGAGGAGGTGAGAGCCTGGTCCAAGGGAAGGGGCTGGGCCAGGAATGAGCCTGGGCCCACTCTTCTCCCACCTGCCCCTCTCACGAGAGCTCAACATAAAGTCCACTGCTTTTTCTAGAAATATGAGGGCCAATTGGAGCCTCCCAGACTGAGAAAAAGGACAGAGGGCAGGGGAAGGGTCAGCCGGTTGGTCTCTGTGTTCAGCCCTCTCCCACTCCCATCTGACTCCAGTCCAGCTCCACTTCCCACCTTTCCCCTGAGGGTGGGCACCTTCTCCCCTGCACCACCTGCCCCAGCCCTGTCACCTACCCGAACTCTGCTCCTCCACCCTGCCTTCTTCTGCTCCAGCGAGCGGCCCCTTGCTAGCTCTGCTCAAACGCCCGAGGTCTCTGCTGGCTGCTCGCTCAGCTTTCGTGCTCGTCATCAGCCATCTGCCTGGATTGACCCCTGCCTCCACAGAGCCTTTGCTGGATCATCCTAGTTCCAACTCTATTTTTCCCACTTATGGCTTTCTTACATACTATGTTTTACATATGATGTGTACTGTTTATTGTCTGTCTTCTCCCAATAAGTGGCAAACTCCATGAGGGCAGAGATTGTTGCGTTTTGCTTTGTTCACTGACAGTCCTCAGTGCTGGCACAGTCTGGCACATGGTGGGAAGAAACAGATACTTGTTGAACTCATGAACGCACCCCGCCCCCTGAAACGGAAAGTGAGGAGTAAAGGAGCAGGAGGTGGGAAGAGGGGATAAAGGTCCCTCGGAGCCCTTCTCCCCCAGCTGCCTCCGGGATGTCTTCGGCATCTCTGCCGCCAGCTGCGCCCTGTCCGCTCACACTCCCGCGTCTCTAACACCCCCAACCAAGAACTGACGGTGAGTTTGGGGTTGAGGGGGTGGGCGATTTCCACAGCGTTGTTTACACCAGGGCTTTACAGTTTAGATAAATCGAGGGAAGAGGCCTGAAAGACACCCGGAGATGAGGGGCTACGTGGGAGAAACTGAGGCTGGAGAAGGGGTTGGGGCCAGATTTCAGTTGAACCCCCAAAGTTGGGGACCCAGGGTTTTAAGAAGAATTTTTAAGTCTTTGTAAGGACCACTCTGCCGCCAGAGGCTCCACCTGCCAGCCGGGGAAGTGTGGGGCGGGGCAGGGCTGGGGAGCGAGGGAGGGGGAGAGAGAGAGAAAGAAAGAGACAGAGACTGTGTATGTGTTGGGGGAGACGAGGGGAGTCGCTTTCAGCAGTAACGCCTCCCGCCCCTTCCCGATTCGCCACGCCCCCAGGCGGTGTGCGCTGCGGGGAGGGAGGGCGGGGAGCAGTGGGGAGGACGCAGGGTGGAACCGCGAAGGAGAGCAATGGCTCCGAGGCTTCCATTCTCTCAGCAGGACCCCCACCCCGGCCTCTGTTCGGGAAAGCCGCCCAGCTGTTTCTGATTCTTTCCTACTCTCAGCCCCGCCCCAGGGGGTGGGGGACCGAAGCACCGAGGAAGCCGGGGGAGACGGAGCTCTATCGATCCCGGGCTGTAACAGGCCGGGAGTCCGCAACCGGTCCGCAGGTGTGCCCCCTCTGTTTCGGCCACCGATTGCCGGTCTTCAGGCCGGAGGGAAGCAGCAGGACCGGATAGACGGACAGAAGCCAAGTCTAAAAGTTTTTTGGTGGGGCGGGGGTCGGAGGAACTGGGGCAACGAGCCCTAGGAGAGAGAAGTCCTACCTGAAGCCGGCTGCCCAGGGCGCCCTGTTGGCACCGTTGCAAAGGGAGTAGAGATTGTCCCGCAACTTCCCGTTCCTGCGCTTTTCACAGGAGCGCAGAAACGGAGAGAGGACCCGAGGAAATGTGTGCGCCCCCTGTGCTCAGCTCCAGTGTCACTGTAGGCTAGCGGACAGGGGGAAGTGTCTGCAAGCCCTGCTCCGCGCTCCGGGCCATCGCCCACGTTAGTTTGGGGTTGCCGATGCAGGGCGCTAGGACCCGGTGGCGCGGTGTCGGATGGGACAGGGCGCTCTGGGCGCAGTGGGGCGCCGCTGCGCCCACCGCACCCGCTGGAGCAGGTGGGGGAGCGGAGCGGTGCAATGCCCTGGCGTCGAGGGGCGGAGGCGGCCGCCACAGCTAGGGCGCAGCGGAGGGCCGGGGCTGCGCGGGCGGAGCCGCCCTGAGGGCCCCGCGTGTCCCCAGCCTCGGCCCCGCCCCGCGCCGTCCAATGAGAGCCCGCGGCCTGAGGGGCTGTCCGCACACTCTACCCGCAGCCCCACTCCGCGCTGCCGACCCCCCGACACCGAACCCCGAGCTCCGAGCGCCACCGTCGGCTTCCAGACACCGCTCACTGCGCCCCTCTCCGGGACCCTGCTCCCCGACTCCTGGAGCCCAGGTGCCCCTAGGTCCCCAGCCGACCGTGAGCCTATGGCCCCCCAGGGGGGTGAGTAGGAGCAGCCTGCGTACCCCCAGCCGGTGCCGCGTCCTCGCCCCTCCGGGCCGCGCGGCGGGAGTCTCCGGGGAGCTATGCTGAAGCCGGGTGGTGCGGAGGACGCCGCGCAGCTGCCCCCTCGGCGCTCCCGCGCCCCTGTCCCCGCGCCCAGACCCGCTGCCCCCGACGGCTCTCGGGCTTCGGCCCGCCTGAGTCTTGCCTGCTTGCTGCTGCTGCTGCTGCTGCTGACGCTGCCGGCCCGCGTAGACACGTCCTGGTGGTGAGTGCGACCCGCAGGTTTGGGAGGGTGAAGCTCCGGGTCAGCCGGAGGCGCGGGGAGGGAAGACGCCGGCCCCGACATCCGCAGCTCAGGAGACAGGGTCAGCGCCTCGACGGAGTTAGAGACCTTCTGGGAAGGGCTGTCACCGCAGTTGCGAAGGGACCGGGGCAGAAGTGAGGGCGATAGCGGGGCGCCGCGCCTTCGCCTCCGGTGGAGGTGGGTGCGGGGTATCTGGAGTAAGGACGCCGGGGGCGGAGGCTTTCCAGACCCTCCTATGCTGTGTCCGTGCTTCAGCTCAGTCGTTTCAGGGCACAAGCTACCCTCCGAGGTTCTCTCGGGGTTGATTCAGACAGCAGTCACCCATCTGCGGCCTTCCTACAAGAACGCCTGATCACCCCAGGTCGCCGCCCCGGGAGGTGGCGACCGGGACTGCGCGCGAGGGTGGAAGAGCCTCGCTGGTCCACCGACGCAGCGGGCAGGGCAAGGCTTAGAGACGGGACCGCGTCAACAACTGCCCCATTAACTCCCACAGTTAAAACAAAACACTCGGGTTTGCATAATTTAGGCATCTGTCTCCAGCGTCTGTTTAAAGGATGCCACTTGGAACCTTGAGATCTCCCTCCCGGCTTCCTTGTTCTTCCCCGACGACCCTCTCAGTCCCCTCCGAGAACTAGGGGCTTGTGGCGTCCCAAACCACTGAGAACCTGTCCTCAGACTTCCTGCAGGCCCTTGACTCCGGACACTTCGCCAGAGGCAGAGGAGCCACAAGGCACTGCAGATCGGCTAGACATCTGCAAGGCCCCTGCGCCCAGTGCCTGGGTGGTACTCGTCCTTTTCCTTCTGCTCAGCAGGGCAGGGGGAGAGTTGGAGTGAGAAAGGCTCGGCCTTCTCACCTTTCCTCTCCACCTCGCAGTGGTCTCCTGGATGGACTGTCGCTCCTCTCTAACCCACGCAGTGCCCCCTTCCCCTCCTCAGTTTGCCCCTCTCCAGCCCTCCCCCACCCTATCGCCACCTCAGAGTGTGGTCTCTTCTCCCCTCCAGCCCTGTGGCTTTTCTCCTCTGGACTCGGAATTTTGGCTGAAAGGATTCGGGGTAGCTGGCTGAGGGGCCAGCGAGCTTGGGCCGAAGATTCCTATCATTTCAAGATGCGTCTCTTGCTCACCATCCCCACCCCCCACCCCGTTTTCCTGTTTCAGAAAAATCTCTCGTTTGGATCTTTTTTATCTCTGCAGTGTTGGGGAAGGCAAGGAGGGGGTTCTGCATGGGGGAGCAGGGAGGCCCATATCTTACATCTGGCTTGAAACATTCCTTCAGAAAGGGAAAGGGAAGAAGGGGGGTGAGGAGAAAAGCCTTTCAAAGTTCAGAGTGAGCCCAAAGCCACTCTTTACCCTCAAGGGCTCAGTCTGGCTGGGGACATGCCTCTTCAGTGGCCCTGTAGAGAAAGGGCGAACATCATTATCCATCCCAGATGGCAGCCTGCTTTTAGGGACTCTTGATTCCTTCCTTCCAGTTGGGGGGCTGTCTTGGGGACCATGTGGTACTCAGGTGAGGGAGTGTCAGGCAGCCTGGCAGTTTCATCGGCCGGAGGGGGTTCCAAAGACCCATCCGGAGTTCTCCCGAGTCCCCATTTTGGCACTTTGGCTATTCTCTCTCCCTTTTTCTTTCTCACTCTACTCCTCCTCCTCAAGTGGACCATATTAAAGATTTTGGGGGAAAAAACACCCTGGGTGGGAGAGCTAGCCGGGGAGGCAGGCGGGTGAGGCAGGGGTTCAGCAGTCCCTGTGAACTGGAGGACGGCAGCAGCAGGGCCAGGATGGGCAGTGAGTGCAGAGGCTGTTTCCATCTTCTGGCCTCTCACCCTGCCAGCTGCAGGCCCGGGTGCCTGCTCCGTGGGCATCCCTGCTGGGATGCAGTGGCAGCTGCTCTCCACGGGCAGGCCGGGCCCCCAAGGGCATTATCTCTTTCCCTTGGGGAGAAAACCAGCAAGGGTGGCATCCTGTGCAGCCCCTCAAGGAGACGCTGTGGACTCTGTGTGGGTCCGAGTTCCTCTCCGGAGCAGGTCAATGCTCTCCCCAGCGCACAGTCTGCTCTTCCTCACAGCCCTTCCCTTCCTCTCCAGCCACGCCTTCCCTCTCCCACTTTATAACCGGAGGAGGAAATGATGGTCTCTTCATAGTCTACAACAAACAGAACAAGAAACCGGGGGCTCCTGGCATGTGCTTCCCTGCTCTATTTTGCATTCTGCAGGGAATTGCAAGAGCCGGACTGAGTCATGGATTCACAAAGGGAGAAGAACAGAACGGTGTAACATTCACATCGTTGTTACCAACCGTGGCTGCCATTTAATGAGCCCTCACTAAGCTCCAGACACTAAGACTAACACTTAAGCGCATCACCTTCTTCAGCCCCTCAAATAGTCCAGTGTGGCAGATACTACTATTATCCCCTTTTCACATATGAAGAGAGGAAGGGAGTGGCAAGAAACTCAAGTTCAACCAATTCTGAAGTCAGATTGGCCTACTCCTGGCTAAGCCTCTCTTGCCCTTGGAATGAAAATGAACGTGGACTTTGGAGTCAGATGTCCTTGGTTCACACTTGGTTCTTCTCTGACTAGCTCTGATGGATAGAGCTGGGTATCATCACTTATTCTTCCTGAGTCTCAGTTTCTTCCCCTGTAACGTGGAGATGGATCTCTCTCTCTCTCTCTCTCGTAGGATTTTTGTGTAGAAAAATGTTTTATAAACGTAAGGTACCATACAAATGATGTTGTATTAAGAGATTCAGGGAGGGTAATGGTTTTAGCCCTGTGTTCAAAGCCCTGTCTGGCTGGCCTAAACTATGTGCCCTAGGGAACTATAAAAGGGGGAAATAAGAAGAGGCTCCCTGGCCTCATTAACAAGACACGAACATAAACCATCTGCAGCTAGGCTGGCGATGTCCACAAGGAGTGACGCTGTAATGGAAGTTTATGACTGGCTAAGGGGGAGGAGAGAGCTGGAGGTAAGTTAGAGCAGTAAGGGTTTATTCAACAAGTAGTTACTAAGTGCCTACTGTGTGCCACACACTGTTCTCGGCTCTGGGCACGCTGAAGTGAACAAAACAGACAGAAATCCATGCCTTCATGGAGCAGTGCATACGGATCAGCTGGGGGTGTCGGGAAGGTGCAGATCCTGATTTGGCAGGCCTGGGATGGGGCCTGAGGCTCTGCACCTCCAACAGACCCCAGGTGATGCAAATACTGCTGTTCTGGGGACCACACTTTGAGGAGCAAAGAGCTGGAGTGATAGTAGGATATGAGTCACCCTGTCAAAGGAAGGCATAGTCAGAGTAGGTGAAGAAAATCATTCTGGGGCCAGAAGCTGGGAAGGAAGTGAGAACTTCTGGATGGGGAAACAGAGCTAGAGTCAGGGGTATCTCACCACTACTAGCCCTCAAACGTCTTTGTGCCCTTGACAGCTAGGCTAAGTGCTTGGCACATGGCAGGCATTTTGCAGGTATGTGTTGAGCTGAGAAGGGAATGGGCTGGGGCCCCGGCTCAGACTCAGGCTCACTGGTCAGCAGACAAGCACCCTATTCTCTAGAATCTTGAAGTAGCTACTTAGTGGGGTGGTAGGTGGAGAAACTTAACATCTTCCCATCTTAGATACTGAACAGATGTTCCCACGCTCAGTGAGGATGTAACAAGGAGGACCAATGTGGGCTACAGCAGAATGGATTTAAGTCAGACCACAGGAAGGACTTTTTGCCAGAGTTTGGCCTGCCTCACTCCAGACTGTCTCATGAGGGCTGGATGACTGGTCTCCCATTCCCATCTAACCCCCGCCTTCCCAAGCCCCAATAAAAAAAAAACAACAAACACCCATTGCTTAGGGCAGTACTCGGGCTGCGCTGGGGAAACAGAATGGTGGTGAGACAGGGACGGGCTCCAGCTCCAACGGTCTTGAATCTCCAAACAAAGCGCCGCAGCAGTGGGTGTAACTCTGGGCTGTGCGTCAGGCGGCCCTTTCCGGCCTGGCCCAGCCCGGGGTGTTTATTTTGTTTGTTCCTGGAAGCTGTTGCCCTGATGGACAGTGCTGGAGACGCTGATTCCATGGGATTTCTCAGTGCCGGCTCAGCCCTCTCACCCCTCCCCCGGGACAGATGGGCCCCATCAGCCCCGCTGAGGTCCAGAAGAGGCGAGCTTCGGCCCTCCTTGTGTTTGTTTTAGTTGGTATCACCAGTGGTGACCCAGTCTGTGGGTGAGAGTGGGGTGTAGTAATGGGGGGAAGGGGGCACGTAGAGCCCAGGGCAGTCCAGCTTTGCCCCATTACCCACTGGCCACCCTCCCTCTCCCCACCTACCTCTAGGCCCATTTGGGGCTCTTTCCCAAACCACAGGCTCATTCACAGCCCAAACCAAAATCTCTCCTGTTTGTGGCAGCAGCTGCCCCCTGTGGCCCCCACCTGATGAGAAAAGGGGAGCGAAGGCGTCCCTTGATGTGTTAGGACAGGAGAATGGAGAATTCCCAGCAAATCAAGGAAGGTGCTGGGTGTTGGAGAGATAAAAAGGGCGTGAGAAGTGGGTGAATGGGTCAGATCTCATTTGGTGGCCTTGTGGGGAGGAAAAGTGATGATACAGTCCTGTCTTCTCTGTGAATGGTCTTCCCAAGGCTGGTGGTGGAGTCCAGGGCTAAGGGTGTTTAAATAAAGAGAACATATTGCCTGGAGAAATCTGAGAATGACTCAAGCAGCCCACCCATCTTTTAGTAGCCTACCCCCAATGACCTTCTTAAAAATAGTTCATATTGGGCAAACTGGGGACTGGAATATGGGGAGTGTCACTGTCTTGCTTTACCTTGGCCTTGGGTTTCCCACAGCAACAGCCCTCTGCCCATGCAGGACATCCTGTCCCATAGGCTGGGTAGGAGGATTTGAAAGAATCAAGACTCATTAGCTACAAAAGGCCAGGGGCCTGGAAATACAGCGTAAGGGGAGGAGAGTTGGGAGTGGGGTCTTCCTCCCCAGACCTCAGGTTGGGAATGAGGACTTTAGCTGCATGGGTCTGACAAGGGCTGTAAACATGACTCGGAGTTGCCCTCTGTGTCTCTGCTCGCAGGCCCCGCCCTGTCTCCATCCTTCTTCCTCCAAACCATGCCTTCATGGACCAACCATGCAGGACATGCCTCTTACATGTGGGTGTAAGAGTGTTATCTCAGACTCTCGTTATGTTAGTTTATTTTTCCATGAGGCTCTTAATGTTTATTAAATAAATAGGCAATGGGTTTATGTGACATACCCACAGCTTTTTGTGTATGTGACACATGGCTGGCCTGCATGCTGGGAGTGTGTGTCACTCTGGCCTTTGGCTGGAGAACTGGTAATGCTGGGAGACCACTCAATTACTCTCTCTGCAACTATATAACTATTTCTCCAGAGCTTGTGGGGACCGGTTCTACTCCCGGCCTCAGGGCATGTGGGCTGGGAAAGGGGAAGGAACCACTCCAAGGTCTGAATGCCAAAACTTTCCCCTCCTTACTCCTCTCCTGCTGCAGAAAAGGGGCCCGGATGCTCTGACAAGGCCATCTCCACCTTGCAGGTACATCGGGGCACTGGGGACCCGAGTGATCTGTGACAATATCCCAGGTTTGGTGAGCCGGCAGCGGCAGCTGTGCCAGCGTTACCCGGACATCATGCGCTCGGTGGGCGAGGGTGCCCGAGAGTGGATCCGAGAGTGCCAGCACCAGTTCCGCCACCACCGCTGGAACTGCACCACCCTGGACCGGGACCACACTGTCTTTGGCCGCGTCATGCTCAGAAGTAGGGGCCTCTTCCACCCTACCCAGCTCCTCCTTCCCGTCCTGTGCTGGGGCTGCTGAGTGGATAGGGCAGGTGTGATCCCCTCTCCCTGTCCTATACACCACTTCATAATCAGAGAAACAGCTGTGGGCAGAGCCCAGGATACAGTTGGGAACAGAACCTCAGGGCTTCAGAAATGTAGCCAGAGGCCCCTCCAAGTCTCAGTGTTCTGGGATGATGGGACAAAGAAGCAGCATTCACAAGTACCTCCCTCTTTCTTCTTCCCTTTCCTGTCCCTCCCTAACCCCCACTCTGTGGGTTTCCGTGCACTGCCAGGCTGAGGACCAGGTTCTCATCACCACAATCACTACCCTCACTCTGATACTCCAGACACCACAGTGATGGGAGCAAGGGATAAACAGAAAGGTGATATGTAAACATTTGGAGAGTTTGTGGTTTGGCCCCAGCTCAGCAAAAAAAAGGCTAAGCAGAGCTAGACGATGGTAAGCTAGGAGAAAGGGAACGAGATGGGAAACCAGAGGTGTTAGGGGACAGGAGTGACAATTCATCAGTCCTTGAGAGCAGGAACAGAAGGAAGCAAGCAGGGGAAAGTAGCCTATCTCTCCAAAGAGGCTGACCCCCTGGGCTGGGGTCTCCATTGTTGGGGAACTGTCCAGCAGAGTGGGCCTGAAAAGGCATGGACTGGGGACGAAGGAAGGCATAGCTGGCCAGGGTTGGCACTTCATGGGAGGTGACAGTTCACCTGAAACTTTTTCATGGATGGATCCAGGGAGTTTGGAAGGAAGCAAGAGTACAGGTTAGCCCAGGAAGTCAGATGTACAAAGAATGGGACAGACAGTAGTGAAGGGTATTATAAGGGGTCAGATATTCTGGAGAATGCTCTTGGAAGGGCACTTTAAATAATGAGGGTGCTGGGCTGCTCAAAGAAAGAAAAAGAGAAGAGAAATTTCAGTCGGGGACTCTGGGGGCTGAAGAAGGGGACCTTCCTGAGACACACTTCCACTTCCCTCTCTCTAGGTAGCCGGGAGGCAGCATTTGTCTATGCCATCTCATCAGCCGGGGTGGTCCACGCTATCACCCGTGCCTGCAGCCAGGGTGAACTGAGTGTGTGTAGCTGTGACCCCTATACCCGCGGCAGACACCATGACCAACGTGGGGACTTCGACTGGGGTGGCTGCAGTGACAACATCCACTATGGTGTGCGCTTTGCCAAGGCCTTCGTGGACGCCAAGGAGAAGAGGCTCAAGGATGCCCGGGCCCTCATGAATTTACACAACAACCGCTGTGGTCGCACGGTCAGTATTCACAGCTGTGCCTGTGCGTTCCTGTTTGCTGGGGGTGACCGTGTGTGTGCTTGTGTATTATATGTGAAGGTGGAAGTGCTGAGGGCTTCTGGGTTCCTTCCAAGTGCCCCACCCCCGGGACAGGAGCAGTAAATGCAAGGGAGCTTGGGAATGCCTAAGTTCAGCCAGATGCATAGTCTTCACCAGGTGGAAAGTAGGGACAGGTGGAGAAAAGGAGGGAAATAACTCTTTAAGAAGGAAAAAGCGTGCTTCCATAAAGACTGAGGAGCATGAGGCCTTGTTCCAGTCAGTTCACTGGTATCTGAGCACCTCCTATGTGCCCAGTCCTATGCTAGAAAATGACATGCTACAGAAGCAGAAGGCATGGTACCTTGAACTCCAAAATACGTGATGTGCCAGGATACTGTAATCATGAACAGAATTCTGTGGCCCTAAAGTTCAAACAGCCTATCATGAAAAGAAGAGCATTGTGGATCCAGGAAGGCTTCTTGGAAGAAGAGGCTCTTGAATTTATCAGGAAGAACGGGTGGGATCTGATGGGGGAAAGAACGACCAATGGCCAGCCAAGGCCAGGTCCTGCGGACCTCAGAGCACTTGTGTTTTTAGTTCAAGGGATGACTAAAGTGCCCTACCTGGCTGCCTCTCTCTTACCTGCCTCCCTCCCTCCCAGGCTGTGCGGCGGTTTCTGAAGCTGGAGTGTAAGTGCCATGGCGTGAGTGGCTCCTGTACTCTACGCACCTGTTGGCGTGCACTTTCAGACTTCCGTCGCACAGGTGATTACCTACGGCGGCGCTATGATGGGGCTGTGCAGGTGACAGCCACACAGGACGGTGCCAACTTCACAGCAGCCCGCCAAGGCTATCGCCGTGCCACCCGGACTGACCTCGTCTACTTTGACAACTCCCCAGACTACTGTGTCTTGGACAAGGCTGCAGGTGAGTAGGGAAAGCAGGTGAGGTCATGGAGACCTAGTGCCAGCACCCCTGAGTAGTCACGGTTTGTCCGTCTTCAGGAGTTAGGAAGGGGATACTGTGGGAAGAGTCAGTCTCCTCCTGACATGAAAATCTTGGAAGGAGATCGATGACTGATAATTTGGTCTGCCGGCCAGTGCTGCCCAATCAGAGAAGAGAGGCCGCTCAGCTCCTGGAGTCCTGAGGTCCGAATGATATACAGAAGTGAGGGAAATGGCTCAGTGATTGTTAAATGGGTCACCTGTTCTCAGTACTGCGCAATGTTTGGCCTACACAGAAGCCTAAGATGCAGCCCTAAGTCTCCGGCTTTTTACAATCTAGCTAAGAAATGAGATGTAATAGGTAGACAGATGTAACTGCAAAAGACAGATAACTAGAGAAATTGAGAAGCTGATTTGAAAATGTGGAATCTAAGCCATTTCTGAAGTGTGGGGATTATCTGTATAGCTGGAGAGAACAGGCAGATATTGTCTAAGCAGAAGCAGAATGGTAGGTGGTACATGATCAGTTCCAGGAACAGGGAGCAGATTAATCTGACTGAGTGAAGATTTCCGATATGGGAGATTAGAAGTAGAAGGATGGCTGGGATCAGACCGCAAATGACCTTGGAAGGCTTTACCCCGTGTGCTGCCATTGAACACTAACGTGGAGTTGGGGAAGCAAGGAAAGGAGCTCCCTACCGAGGCCTGCCATTTGCTGGCAGGAAGCAGCAAATATCTGTGACAGGTATTTGTGGTGGAATTCTTGGGGATGCTGGAAGGTGATATGGTATTACCCCAAAGGATGGAAGTTACCATCTTGGGCCCAACTTCAGGTTCAGGTAGGGTAAACCGGAACAGTGTGCAGTGCCCCAGATGGCTCTCCCCCTGGTGACCATCCTGGACTCTCAGACTCAGCAGTCAGGACGTGGGTGAGGTGGAGTGAAAAACCTCAGCTGTCTTCGGTACTGTGTTCTTTTAAAGATTTTATTTATTTATTTACTTTTAGAGAGAGAGGGGGAGTGAGGGAGAAGGAGAGAAACATCAATCAGTTGCCTCTCATACACATCCTGATGGGGGGACCAAACCCACAACCCAGGCACGTGCCCTGACAGGAAATCAAATGGGTGATGTTTCGCTTTGCGGGACGATGCCCAACCAATGAAAGAGCCACTCTGGTCAGGGCTTGGGTACTGGGTTTTCAACCATCACTGTCATTGCTGGAGAGTCAAGTGGTTTGGAGCAAACCTGGGCGCAGAACCGGGGTGGGGCTTTATCCAAGTAAGAGAGAAAACAGCCTGTGTACCTCAAGGGTGCTGAGACAAAAAGGTTGAGGGAGCCCATCTGATTCCCCCAGTGAGTTCCTGTGGTATAACTGAGAGAACTACTTTCCAAATGCCTGGAAATCATTCCATCACATCCTAGGTGTAAGCCTACGCTATCTACCAACCACACCTAACATGCCCCTTTGGGGAAGGATCTTTGGAATTAGGAGGGAGCTGAGTCACATATGTGTTTTCTCAGAGGTATAAAATTAAGTCTCATAAAACCCAAAGTGGGGCCTGGAATTCAAAGGGTCCAAGTCATCCGGAAGGGAAAATGGAGCCAGGAATTCCCTTTAAGGCAGTACTGTCTGACCGCACCTTCTGTGATGACAGAAATGTTCTACATCTGAGCTCTCTAATGCAGTAGCCACTGAGCTACATGTGATTACTGAGTATTTGAAATACAGCTAGTGTGACTAAGGAATTAAGCTTTGAAATTTATTTAACTTTAATTACTTTAAATCTAAGTGATCTTATTTGGCCAGTGGCTACTACTCTGGATATCTCAGCTCCAGAGGGTAGAGGAGACTTCTCTTGCATGAGAAGGACTTAAAACCCAACTCTTGCAGTTAGGAGAACAGCATACATCGAAGACCTAGTTGGCCACACCCTGGAGCAGTGGTCTTCTGACATTTAAAATTATATCTTCCTATCATTTAAAAATATTGAGCATGCACCTCTCATATGTGTATATTCACTTATAAATGATATCTAGGTTCTGCTGTACTAATATGTGCATTATAAAACACAATAGCCCTGGCTAGTATGGCTCAGTGGATTGAGTGCCAGCTTGCGAACCAAAGTGTTGCAGGTTCAATTCCTAATCAGGGCACATTGCCTAGGTTTTGGGCCAGGTCCCCAGTAGGGCATACGTGAGAGGCAACCAAGCATTGATGTTTCTCTCCCTCTCTTTCTCCCTCCCTTCCCCTCTAAAAATAAATAAATTAAATATTTTTAAAAACCACAATACAGAACAGGTATTTTTAAATTGATAAAGTAAAAAACAAATACAGAAGTTCTAGCATTTTCCTTCCATATCCCAATGGAATGTGCAGACTCCTGCTGTAGAAGGCAGTTACTTTACTCCCCTCCTTGAACTCCCAGGCTAGCCACTTTCCCATCCCTGGGAGAGGGTTGGAGGAGATACTGTCTAGGATCCATCCCACCCCAAATTCTATCATTTTATAAGCTGTTGCTAAAATCAGTGAGAATGAGGTCCTGAGTGTTTTCTGTGCATGGGGAGAACATCGTCCTTGCCCTTCAAGAGTTCCCACTGCCAGGGTAAAGCAAGGGATATTCATCAGGAATTCCTTAGGGGTATGCCTCCCCACAGTCAAGGTACTCAGTTCACCCCTGGTTTGAATATAGATTGTAGAGGTAACATAACAGTCCACTGAGTTAGATGCTATTATTATGCTTATTTTCATATGAGAAAACTAAAGTCCGGAGGGATGAACTGACTTGCAAATCATATAGCTAAAAAGTGGCAGACATGAGATTTAAACTTAGACACTCTGACATCAGGCACATGCTTTTCACAGCCATAGCACACGACTTCCCTGTGTAGTGCAACTTAAAGATGTAAACGAAGGACCGAAATGCCAACAAATGGTAGCTGGGTCAGAGTTGTGGCAAGACTTTCTGGAAAAGATACATGATAGGCTACTTTTTTTAAACTTATTATGGAAAAATTCAAACACACAGTAGAGAGTCTTCACCTGGCTTTGACAATGACACACGTCTCAAGGCCAAGTTTTAAAGGGGTCTGGGAGTGTATGTTGGCAGCGAGGGCACTGCTGGTGAAGCCAGTGGTTTCTGGACAGCCCCTGTGGGGGGAGGAAACCGGCCTGGGGCGGAGGGCCAGGAGGGCATGATCAGGCTGGCCAGCAGGGTGTTTTCAGGAGAAGGGACTCTTTAGGGTGTCCTGGTAAGCATGCAGGTAAGGGAACTCAGAGCAGCTGGAGTGAATAAGCACCAACTTGGTTCTCACTCTCTTTTTCCCAACCCAGGTTCCCTGGGCACTGCAGGTCGTGTCTGCAGCAAGACATCGAAAGGGACAGATGGCTGTGAAATTATGTGCTGTGGCCGAGGCTATGACACAACTCGGGTCACCCGGGTCACCCAGTGTGAGTGCAAATTCCACTGGTGTTGTGCTGTTCGGTGCAAGGAGTGCAGAAACACTGTGGACGTCCACACCTGCAAGGCCCCCAAGAAGGCAGAGTGGCTGGACCAGACCTGAACATATAAATACCTCACTCATCCCTTCACTTCAAACCTCCTGACTCTGAAAGCACAAGATCTTTGCATGCACACCTTCCTCCACCCTCAACCCTGGGATGCTATAGCTTCTATTTAAGGACTTGGAGCGTTATCCGGAGGGACTCTGGTGTCCTGGCTGGTTCCTGAGCCCTGGGAAGGAGTTAACAGGGAATGTGAGACACAGAGCAGCTCTCTGACTGCCCACTCTGGAGGTCAGAAGGGGTCTTCAGAGCGAATGAGTTGCACTAAAGCACGCAGTCAAGGCTCATGTTTCTCTTCCCCTGCGCTGGCTTCCTGACACTTGTGTGTGTGCATGAGGAAGGATACCTGGAGAGAGCTTCCTTTCGTTCCTACCTGGCTGAGGGTGGATGGGACAGAGATTAAATCGCATACTTCTTCCCTGGGTCAGTTCGAGCAGACCGCCTTGTACCCCAAAAGGAATTCTTAGGCTACAACACTCTTCCATTATTAAGAGTTAGATGAGAGTTAGCCAGTGGACAAGGTTCCATTCATATGCTCATATGTTTATCAACTGCTGTGTTTTGTAAGGGAAAAAATTATATAACTATACGAACATACATTCTCTTCCAATCTCTCCCCCTTTTCAGTCTCTATCAGACAGTACTGGCCCTTTGCTCACTGGCTGCCTGTTCAAAGTGAGGGCATGCCGTGGTACCCATGCCTGCCAGATTATTAGAATACCCAGATACATCCTGAGGAAGCAGAACGTAGTAAGTCTGCCTAGGTCTTGGAATTTTATTTTTTATACTCTCCATACATTTAAACTCTAATGTACTTCCATGCATTACTCTGGTGGTCAGCAGGTTGAGGGAACACGGAGAACAAGATGTATGACATGTGGAGGCGGGAGAGGGGAGCAGTCCTGATCTCAAGGGCCCACCTGAGGCACCAGTGCACAGCAGGCGGGCAGAGATCTCTTGCTCTGGCAGTTTGCAGGAGAGGATCCTCGCCTTTGAGGCTGGGAGTAGGATCCAGTGACTACAGAGGGAAGGAGAGCCAGGCCTGGGGGCCAAAATGGTAAACAGCTTAGAAAGCGGCCTTTCCTCGTTTATTCAACAAATCTCTGTTTAATGACTCTCCCAGTCCTGGTGATCATGTTGTTCATTCCGTGTTCTCCCTGTTGAGAAGGAACTCAGTAGGGAGTTGCCTAACTAAGCTTGCATTCGCCCAGTCTCCAGAGGTAGCAGGCGGTCAGTGACACGGAGTCCCAAAAACTGTGATGTCCTATTGTTATGTGATTTGAACAATGGTTATCTCTTGCCTGCTGATATTTTAAAGGAGCAAAGCAGTGTAGAAATTTGCAGTTATAACAGACATGGGTTGGAATCACAGCTGTTTTTGATATTTTGAAGCAAGATACTGAAATTCTCTGAGCCACTATCTTCTCATCTGTAAAATGACGGTATGAAACTATCTTAGATACTGAGTTTTAATTATGCCTCAAACTCCAGCCAACAGACACTCTTACCAAAGCCCCTAACTGGTCTAGCCCATCAAGACTTACTTCAGAACAATAAAGTATTGACAGCAGGCTGTGTATTAAGGAGCCTACACAAGGAATTCTGAATATAGCCATACCCCCCTTCCCAAGCTCCTCTCCAACATCCCTTGGGGTCCTTGCATGTTTGTGGAACAGCTTCACTCTGCACAGGCAGCAGAAGGGAGACATAGCTCTGGGCCATGGGGGCAGATTTATTTGGATGATAGGACTAATATTTGTGTAACCTGCTGAGACCTGTGTGGGAGAGTTTAGGGTGGTTTTTCCTTTGGCGAGGGGGTTTGCTCCAATTTCACATCCATTAACACAAAACATGAGCTAGTCAGGGCCCTTGTGGTCTGCGGTGAGGGGATTCCTGTGGAGAAATAGGACTGAGTGAGTCAGGCCAGGGGAATGTCTTCCTTGTGGAGTGGAGTCAACTGGATAACTGATGAGCCAATGGTGGGATTAGGGAGGGGGAAGCGGGAGGGGAAGAGAAGGGCTTCTGACATCTAGAGCTGGGATTAAGAGGAGGAAAGCCCTAGGGTAGTGGGAAGGTAAGAGGGTTAGTCGGTGTGAACTCAAGAATAGAGTTAACTGAATTTACAAAAGGGTGCTGTCATGTGTGCTGGGCCCCTGGGAGAGCCTCAGGTCTCAGCTAACCCCTGCTCTCAAGTGGACATCCACCCCCCCCACATGAATGATAGCATAAGGCCCCCCCATGGAAAATCAACCTGAGTTCAATCTACCTGTGCTCTAGTATCCATCCTTTTTTGGTTCTTACCTCGGGGAAGGAAGTGGGCCTCTTCTGGCATCTAATTACTGCTCTGGGCTTTTCTCTGGGCTCCAAATTCTAATTCATAAAGACCCAAGTCTTGTGTTTTCCTATAACTGGTTAAGAGATGAGTGAGCTGTCCAGAGAGCAAGAGGTTTGAAAAGTAAGGTGGACAGGGAGAGACAAGAGGTCCATGTGAGCCCCACCACAGAGGTTATGTGGCTCCAAGAAGGAATGATGACCAAGCAATTAATTTTTCCTCTTATTCCTTAGCTTACCTCTGCATTCCGATTGGCTTTAGACAACTGGTGTCCATTCTGTGCTATACAAACAGAAACTAATTTATTTGGAACAAGCTGTAAAATGAGAACTTCATTTGGTATAGTCAGGGCTCCACTTAGTTCTGCTGCTGCTCACTCCCTGCCTCTAGTAGTGCCCTCTTGCCACCCTCCCCTGTTCACCAGAGATCTGTCCCTCAAACCAGCAGTCTCTTAGCCTCTCTCCTCTCTTCCAGTCCTTCCTATGGGTCCTCTTTTCTTTTAACTTTTAATCTTTAGGTATGATGCAGGCAGAAAGTGCTATTTGGAAACAAAGTTAACTGAAGGGACATTATCTCTATCCTTTAAGGATCTTGGAATTTTTATTTTATTTTTTAGATTTTATTTATGTTTTAGAGAGCAGGGAAGGGCGGGAGAAAGACAGGGAGAGAAACATCAATGCGTGGTTGCCTCCTGCGTGCCCCTCACTGGGGATCCAGCCCACAACCCAGGCATGTGCTCCAACTGAGAACGAAATGGCCCTTTGGTTCGCAGGCCAGCGCTCAATCCAAGGAGCCACACCAGCCAGGGCAGGATCTTAGCACCTTTTAGAGAAGGCATGTGACTGAAGTATCTCAGCTGTACGACCTATAGCCAGCTTCTCTTATGTAAAAGTAAGGATGCCAGCCTCAACTGCACCCTGAAGGTAAGATCCAACCCGTGTCATCGCCAACCTTGAGTAACAGCACTAATCCATGCTATTCCTTAGAGTGATTCTGGAAAAATGCACACAGGGACTTGAGATTATTTTAAAGAATCAAACATTGCCTGGCTCTGAGGGTCAGTTTGCAGAAAGCCTTGTAGGTCTGACTCATGACCACTCACTGCCTCATTTCTCTTCCTTTTGCAGAGAGTAATTTATTCCCCTTTCTCTCACCTCCCTCAGCAAGAACACCAACCGCTAAGTCCTTGCCAAATTCTCAGACCCACTTAGAACATTGGCTTACTATAACAGAGATAATTAGAATTTTTTCCCCTCTGCCTTTCTGAGTTTTTATTTCAATGCCCTCAGTGGTCACGGGGCAGAAGCCCAAAGGAGGACATATTTCTCATCCCTGGGAGGCTGTTGGCCTCACTCCTGCAGCCAAATTACAGCACCAGAGAACAATGTGATGCATTCCTGGGCAGGTTGGTGGGACTCTGGACGCCTGGGCCTTGTGGAGAGAGGTGCCAGACACAGAGCTCTCCGTAAGCAATCCTGCAGAGCCGCCCCCTGGGTGCAGAAATGAAATACGGGAGAGTTTTGCATTACACAGAGACCTATAGCTCACACCTGGTTATTGATGGCTGTGGTGGAGGCCTCTGCCCCCACCCTCCACTTAGGAATTGCCTGCTACTATGGGGGTTGGGCATCTTTGAAGCAATGTTGGAAAACTAGAGATGCTTCCTTTTCATGCTTTGCCCTCCCCACTTGTACATAACCGTGAGGATACACACACACATGAAGTGCACATATACGGACACACATAAACATATATGGGCATACACATAGTTTCTCTCATTCTAGTCATCCTCCCTCTCCCCAACAGTTAAAAAAAAAAAAGAAGCAGCCAGACTTCAGTCAAATCCTTCAAAAATCATCCCAACAACAGAGGTTCAGCTGTAATCAAGGAATATTTAAAAAGTCACATCATTAACATGCAAGCAGCTGTTTGGTTCGGGGACTGGCTGTCCACTGGGGGTGGCAGGAGAAGGAGGCAGAGAGGGATCAACGATGGACAATTAGCACCCGAGCGAAGGGTCAGACACTTCTCAGGGCTGCCTCACTCCAGTGCCTACAGGATTGGTGCCCTCTGTGCTGTGGGCAGGTCCTCCAGCTCAGGACCTGTTGTTATGAACTCTTGTTAGGTCAGAAAGCGGGACAACTTTGGCTTTCCAGAGACAATCTCCCCAAGAGAGGTACTGGAGAGGAGCAAGCAGTAGCTTTCCTAGGGCAAGTGTGTCACAGTTACTGAACTGAAATTTCCCAGACGTTTTTCTCTTTGGGTGATTGGCAGGTTTCAGGCAATAGTTTGTGGGGTGTCAGTAATACCCTGCCCCTGACCCCCCCAAAGGGATAGAAGAGAGGGAGTGTTTATAAACACATGTTCCTACTTCCCTTTCATGACTTAAATGATCTCTAAGCATCTTTATGGCTATTCCTCATTCACTTAAGATGTTTTAGTCAGCCTGGACTTACAAAAGCGAGGTAAGCATTCCCCCCAGCCCCCCTAACTCTGAACTATCTTGGCTTAAAATTTGCCTTTGCTCACTTCCATTCTGCCTGAGTCTATGGATAGAACAGCTGAACATGGGAGTTCTCTTTCTTTGACCAAAAGGAGCCAAAATCTGGTAACTTTATTTCAGTATCACCAGCCCCTATAAGCAGGCCTGACCAAAGAGAAAGGCTGAGCTGAGTAAAGAAAAAAGGAATCCAGTTTAATTCACAGCAGTCCTATTTGACAACTTTCAAGTTAGGGCTTCCCCAGGAATAAATGTGGGATATTCGTGAAAAGCTTTTTTATGAGCAAAATGCTTTAGCAGATACACAATTCTCAACCAAACCTGTGAGGCAGGAGTTACACTCACTGCACAGGTGCTGTTCAGAGAGGCTCCGTGATTTGTCCAGGGTCATGTGGGCACTGAGTGGCTCAGCCAGATCTCAAACTTAGGGCTTTGGACTTCAAGTCCTGGGTGCTCCTCAAAGACCGAGGATGTGTAGGGCTGGAGGCACCACAGTCCAAGCACCTTCAGAATAAATTAACACAAATATTCTAGGAGGGCACATCTGAGCAGAATTTACGAGAGGAATGGGATGGGCTTTCTCTAACCTCATCAATGAGTCACAATTACCACATGATCACTATACCAAATGGTCCTCATTTAATCAACTCTGGCTCTCAGTTTTTTCTTTTTTTTTTCAAGGCTCTTAGTTTTTTTCTATTCCTTTTTTCTTCTTTTAATTTTTAAATGATTTAATTTATTTTTAAAGAGAGGGGAAGGGAAGGAGAAAGGGAGAAAAACATCAACATGTAGTCGCCTCTCACATGCCCCCAACTGGGGACCTGGCCTGCACCCCAGGCATGTGCCCTGACTGGAAATTGAACCGGCACTCAATCCACTGAGCCACACCAGCTAGGGCCCTTTTTTCCTCTTTAAATTAACACTTAACCATTTGTTTTAGTTTATCTAGTCCTTTTAAAGTGATGCTAAAAGTGAACACAATAAGAGAAGCCACAGTGAGGAAGTTAAGGCTTTGGGCTTTTAAAGTATGCGTTAGAATTTCCTTTGGGATGTCACTCTTTCAAAAAATGCTGTCAACCCCTAGGCTAGGAGAGAATGAACAGGGAATGACAGTGCTAGAAAACCATCCCACCCCAGGCCAGATGCCTACTCACAGCCTAGTAAAGGTCCTGGAACCTCTAGCTGAGAGAGAGAATTTATCTCCACCAAGGCAAGGAATACCTACCCTGCAGAGGGACCCCTGCAAGATGAGGCAGACAATAGATTTTCACTTGATCAAAAACTTTTGCTGCTCTCAACCCTTCCTCCCACCCTCATTTAAAATCTGGGCTTCTGTTTAGATCCAAGACAGTGAGACAAAGCAGCTCCAAGATGATGTGTGCGAGGGGAACCCTTCCCTGTGCGACCCTGGAATGCATTTTGTTAGAGGCGGCAGAAGCCCTCATATACCCCACCTATCCCACCCCTGCACCCCAACTGTGAAGGCAGGAGGGAAAGCTACAGGAAGGCAGTGTTCATCAATCACAGACCTGCGATGCTACGCTGTCCTGCCCTGGGCCCCCAGTAGAGCTGGAGGAAGAACACCCCGTGAAAACAGTCCACCTATCGGCAGGATTTGTCCCAGAACAAACCTTACTTCTTGGTCCATCGATCTTGGCTCTCACTGCTCTCCCTGCTTCCCACCCCCACAGCCTCCGCATGTGGGCTCAGAAGTCATCATCTAAAGAATTCCATTGCTCACCTCCTGCATAACAGCACAGCCCCATGAGGCCACACACCAGATGGAGGGGATAAAAGTACGAGGTCATGGCTTCTAGCAAGAGGCTTTTTCTTAAACTAACCCTGACTCCTGGAAAAGAGGCAGAGCAGGAGAGTGTCGGGTGAGCTGTTGACGACAGCAGCTCATAGGTCTTGTGTAAAAAGGAAGGAAAAAGCTAACTTGGCTTTCAGTGGAAATTTCCCTTATTCCCATCTCCAGATCTACTTCTGGTTTCACATCTACTTCTTGAAGGTGTCTGAGTAGAATGCAGAGAATGTCCAACCAAAGGATGAAATCATTCCCAAATGTAGGGACCTATTCAGCAGGCTGCCACACACATGCTGAGGAGGAGGCCACGCCCTGAGCCCATGCCCTGTTTCTCCAGGAATGCAGCTATGAGGTCAAGGGAAAGGGCATGGAGAGTGGACTAGAACCCAGGGGAAATTATAAAGGTTGTCGGTGGGACTTTGAAATGTTTGTGTGTAATAAACACAGACAAGGGGATGGAGGAGGAGCATCTTTTCTAGAATCATTATGCTATCCAGTGATGGTGTATAGAAGCAATAGTTCCAAAGAAACAGTTTAACAGACTGAGAAGTCGCAGAATTCGGGAATCAGGTGAATGAGATTTCAGAATCAGGCCTTCTACAACAGTTAGCTTTTGAGTTGGATTTTTAAAAGATAAAGTAAGGACAAGTTGAGGGCAGTCAGAGGAACACATTCTAAATAGAAACTGGTTTACACTGAAACTTAGAAGCAAGAATGTGCAAGCAATATATAAGGAATTTCAAGCAAGTACATATTATATACCCTGGGGAATACAGAGAAATTAGAATGCTGAGATCAGGACTTAAATAATGCGAGGTGACTGTATGTGCCTAGACTGTCAAAAGGTTCGGAGTTCCCCCCAGAGATACATAGCACCTTGATCTATGTCAGTAAACACCAGGGCACCTATGGGAAAGCACAAATGACTCCATTTGCTACACATATAAGGACTAAAAGAGAACTACCCTATAATGCCTAACAAAATGTGAAGTATCATTAACTACAGCTCCCTACCATCTGAGATTCTAGGCTAAATAAGAGATCAAATATCCTATCCAGAATCATGATGTTTACAGGATTATAAATCAAGCCAAACTCTTTAGAAATTAGAATGTAAAAAAGAAATAATCTCAAATAGAACATGCATGCTTCTTTCCCTTACTCGCAAACTTAAACTTGACAGGTCTCCTGTATCCCATTTGGGATGCTGGACTCTTGTAGCTGGCAAACTCATCACACCTGAGGCCATGGTGAACAGGAGGAGGGCTATGAGAGCGCTTCGGGGACTGTAAAACCAGTTCGCTAATAAGTGGGAAGACAGTTCTTGTGCACTACAGGCTGCTAGAGCAGCAGCCAAAGACAAGAGATGAATTCCAATTTCATGATTTCCAATTAGGTCCCTGGCTTCCTGCATGTGTTGAAGGTAAAACAGAGCTATCCATCAGACTTCTGTCATACTTTCTAACTGAACTTCCCCAACCTCTGAGGACAAAAACCACAAGGACAACCTTGTACCTCCACAGCACTTTCCTGGTGCCACTTTCAGAAACAGAATATTGGAACATATATTTTATGTTTATGAATATTAAATGAGCCAAAATGTGAGTAATATCCTAAGTTTCTGTTTTACTTAACTGGCATGATTTGGTACTGGAAGGGAGGCAGCCACTTAACAGCGACAGCATTTGTTGGTATCATCTTAGTTTTTACCTCCTTCCCTAGGCAGTTTACAAAAGGTGATTTCTGAAACCCTTCACAACAGAAAAAAGCTCAAGGGTTTACATTCAACTGTGACACAACTATGAATTCATTAAGAAGCATGTTTCAGGTTGCACTATAATTTCCCTGTGTAACATAAACCCATGGAATCTGACATAAGCTGATTGCTCATGCTGGTTATTTTATTTACATTTCTGAATGGGAGGGATTTCAATACTCATAAATATCTAACTGACTTATTATTTTTCATCTGTTCTCCCAGAGCAGCTATTATAAAATAGGCATAGAGACAGAAGTCTCAACTTGTATGACTGGTTAAGTAAGCAACCAGGGAAAAGTTATTGCTCAAAAGCAATTTTTAAAAAATTCAATAAGGAGCTTGTGGCTAAACAAGACATATGGTTACTTTCAATGTCATCTGAAAGATAAAAATTAAGTAACTGTATTCTTCATCTTCATCCAAGTCCTACAGGAGTAGTTGGTACCTTCACAGGAACTCAGTGGCCCAGAGTTCACTTAGGTCTTTCTCTAGAGACCTAACACTAGCAGACACAGTCTGGTATCAATGCCAACACAGGGGAATGGGTTCGAGTGGAATTCTCCTTCTACACCAGAAATAAAGATGTGCCTAATGACATGTCCCCTATGAGAAGACAGAACTGTCCAGGATTCAAAATTGGTCAGCAAAATTCAGCTTAGAAGAGAGGGAAAAGGAGCCTTATTTTGGTGCCTTAATCCAATATCTTTTTATTACTTTTAAAATTAACATGATTTGTGCCCATTAGCAGAATCAGTGACTGGAGGATGGAGCTTTGGCATTAACAGTGAGCGCTGGAAATTCCGAGTGGCTCTTTTCGAGTCTCTCTCCACAAAGCTGATTTTAGTCTTCACTCTTGCTAGCCCATACTGCTTCACAATGACATGGCACTTCATTTTCTAAACCAGGGCGTCCCTGAGCCCTTACTAATCTGTCATTATGAAGAATGAGGAGATATAAATGAAAAGCTGAAAGTGTATGAGTATGGAAGCTTTTGCTTTATGGCCGCTACTGTGTAAGTCTGAGGTGAGACATTCCTTATTTAAGTTTTGAATTGTGGAGTGCTTCATTTTTTTTGATAAATTCTAAACTTCAGATAAATATAATGAATTTCACTGTTTACAGAAACTTGAACTTTGCTAGTTAGCTGTAAAGATGAAAGTCCTCCATGTTTTAAAAATAAAAATAAAGAGACCTCTTGTTTGACTAAAAGGAATTCTAACCAAATACACTCTACTAAAAGGAAAAGTCTTCATGAGTCTAGATTGACTTTTTGGGTTGTTAAATCTTATATGAGGCATATGAAAATAGCTCACCTGTCACTTCTACTCTAGTGAATAAATATGCAACGATGAAATAATCTATTGTTGTGGCAGTAGCCTCTGTCTTATACTAGTGCATCTCTGCCTGTCTCAAACCCCCTACCACCAGAGTGCGAGTCATTTGTGAATAGGACTGTATTTTGTACTTCTCAAAGGTGCCCAATAATGATCTGTTCATTGAGTGAGTGAATGAATGAATGAATTCATTAGTATTAACATCTAAATATAATAAATTCAAATATTGAAAACTTAAGTTACAGAATAACCGGCACCTTATTATAGCATGTTCTAGAACAACAGTTAATATATTTTTCAATGCTAAGTCTCTTTTTAAAAACTAAATTTTGAAAACAAATTAAGATAAGCCCTATTGGAGTCCTTTCATTTAATAAGCCTCTACTGAAAGAAGAATCTTTTCAGGGTATCCAGAACTGAACTGCATGTTCTAGGGCATTTTTTTAAAGATAGTATTACGATAGCTAAGGTATACCAAGAGCAAATTAGGAAGAGAAGTCTGCAAAGTTAAGGCTTAGTTGAATTAGAGTCCCTGGGCTCCCAATAAAGGCTAATTCCCAAAGGGATCAGAGTCAAGTAAATAAAAAATCCAGCTGAATTTTAT